GTTTCAAAACGCCTAAACAGTCTGGGAATGATCCACAAGCAGTTTCAAAACGCCTAAACAGTCTGGGAATGATCCAGAAGCAAGGATACTGGGTGCCATACGAGTTGAAGCCGAGAGATGTTGAACGGCGTTTCTGTATCTGTGAACAACTGCTTAAAAATAAAACGGAAAGGATTTCTGCATAGCAATGTAACTGATGATGAAAAATGAGTTTTTTAGAATAACCTCAAAATCATGGGGTTATCCTGGCCACGCTTATAAGCTGATGGCTAAACCGAATATTCACGGATCCAAGGTAATGCTCTGTATTTGGTGGGACTAGCTCGGTGTAGTATATTATGAGCTGTTAAAACCGTCTGAAACAATCACAGGGGATCTTTATCGAAGGCAATTAATGCGTTTGAGCCGAACATTGAAAAAAATGGTTGCAATACCTCGAAAGACATGATACAGTTATTTTTCAACATGACAATGCTCGACCTCATGTTACAAAAGTTGTCAAATCATACTTGGAAACGTTGAAATGGGAAGTCTTATCCTACGTGCCGTATTCTCCAGATGTTGCTCCCTCTGACTATCACCAATTTCGATCAATGGCACACGGTCTGGTGGACAAGCACTTCCGGTTTTATAAACAAGTCCAAAATTGGATAGGGTAATAGATTGCTTTAAAAGATGACCAGTTCTTTTAACGCGGGATCCGATTGCTGGTAGAAAGGTAAGAGAAGGTAGTGGCAAACGATGAACAATACTTTGAAACATACATGTCGAATCAGATTTTTACAATAAAGCTTTGAATTTGAAAAGAAAATGGCGGAAGCAAAGTTGTATACCTAATAATATAATAATATTATGATAAATATAATAGTAAAAATAATAATAATAATAATAATAATAATAATAATAATAAATGATAGGATATTTCTTTCAGAAATAATCTACGGGAGCATGCCGGTAATAGAAAAGCAAACTAGAAAGAGAGAAAGAGATAGAAATACGCGAATTTGAAAAGGGTTGTTGGCCCGTTATGTATTTTTGTAATTTTTATTTTTTTTTTCTGTTTCTTCGTATGCTCGTTCACCACATCAGAAATAATAAAAAACGTTTGTTATAGCGTGAGAGAACATAATACATCTATCCCTTTGATTTCTACGGTATTTTATTTTACATGGTTTCGTAATCAAAAAGAATTGTTAAAAATAAATCCTTTAGATACCATTCCATTAATAACACTGGTATTAAATTTTTTTTTTGTACACATGTGAAAACCATTGACGCAGTAAATCTGAGAAAATCTTTATCGGCATAAATGCAAACGTCAGCTCTGTGTGCTATTTTTTTTCTTTATTAATTATAATTATTTGAAACTTCATTTTTACTGGCTATTAATAAACAATAATAATGTTTCTAGTGTTTTTATAATTTATTTAAAGTTTCATGTTATTTTACCATGCCGAAATAAATTAGAAAAGAAAAAGACGAGTGTAAAGAAACTTTACATTTTTAGAAAATAAAAATGAACATTTTAAAATGAACATTAGAAACAGATATACCGTGTGAATTAGGGGATAGGTGTATTTCGTTACTATAATATACGATAGGTAATAATATATTTGATTATACGTTGAAATAGCAAAGAAATCTAATTAATAAGGAAGCGAAAGAGAAAGGGTTAATCTATATATTCTAATTCTACTCGATCGATAATCGAAACGATTTAAACTATCATCGATTACGTTACTAATAAATAAAAACATCGACTATAACGAAGTATCTTCTATTTTCTATTTTCTATTTTGTTTTTTTTTCTTTTTTTTTTCTTTTTCTGGCGTTCAACTTGTTACACACTCGATCTCGGTTAAAATATATAATAGTAGAAGAAATTGATAAAAAAAAATAAACAATATAGCCACGATCGGATCGTGCATCGTTTCGTTTTCGATCTACGCCAACCGATGCGTGCACTTTTCTTCTTTTATATTTCATTTTCTATTGTTTTTTTATCCTTCCATTTGGACCGATATTCTGTCAATATCAGAAACCCATTCGATCTCGTCCAAGTAATATTTGCTACTGTCCAATTATTTCATTCAATATTTTCATCATTTTTCTCGACCCTGATTCTGCTGTGTGTTTATATACACGTGTCTGTGTCTCTGTGTATATATATATATGTGAGCATTTATATGTGTGCACCTTTTAGAGGCGTGCACATACACATATATAAATGTATTTTCCATTTTTTTTTTCTATTAAAAATATTTAAATAAATATATATATTAGTACACTATAATATATTTGTTTATTTATTTACAAATTATAGAGAAATATAATTGCGTGTGAATTAAATTAGTGAAGATTTGAATGATTAAGAGAGAGAGGCTTGTTTATACCTTGCATCCGAAGGCGATGAGTTTAAGGATGCACTCAATGAGGAAAAGGAGGGTGACGACCAAGTTCACGATGGTCAAGATGTCCAATAGTATTAGCGGCGCCTCGTGATACTACAAAATACACCCAACAGACAGACGTAACACAAGCCAGCTTCTAAAGTCGTCGATTGGCGGCCCGATATATAAGATATTTATCAAATCTAATATACTTATGTATATACATATGCATGTATATGCATGTATACAATACATACATATACCTGTGCCTGTATATTAACCAGTTAACTGTGATTGACAAGTATACTCGTCATGGAGAAGTGGCACGATTTTACGCCGACCAGGCGGTAAGCCTATTGATAGCTGTTGGCCCGAAGTTACCTAGTTATCAAGTGGCGTAAATGCCAATTGTTTGATGTTAGAACCATGTGCTGACATTAGAGTAATGCCCCAATACCGTGCTGCCTAAATAACAGTTATTTTATTGGGGTGGGAAAGGCTAGGATGCTTTCTGGTAAGAGGACTGTGATCAACCCTACAGCACCTACTCCAGAACTTCCTCAGTATCAAGACAGGTAGAAAATATTTTGTCAGTAAGGAAGGAAGTAAATCAGTGTTTGTTTATATTTCTCAATTTCTTAGACATTATTTGTCTAAATGCATTTATATTATATAAAAAAAAAATAATGGAACATTATCGCGAATGAACTTTTTGCTAGAATTTATTGAAGACACTTTTGCGACGTATCCAATTCAAAGAGAAAAATCGACACAAACTCGGCCATTTAGACCTAATGTAAGCCAATTAGGCGGGAATCATGTTCCGGATTATATACCAGGAACTTTGAAAACAAACAACCCTACGGGAAGGTGTTCACACTGCTATAAACGTAAGATCAGGAATGAATCGCGTTAATGGTGTTCCATTTGCAAAGTCCCATTGTGTGTAGCACCCTATTTCATTGAACACCACAGCTGGAGTTTAAATTCTTGTTATTATATTTATAATATTTAATTTTGACTGCGTTCTTAATTTAATATGTTTATGTTAACTAATTAAGTAAATATTAGTAATAAAATAAACCCATATATTTGATCCAATATCTTACCAACGTAACTTACTCTGTGATTGACGAGTATACTCGTCATGGTGTGACGTATGTGCTCTCAAACGAGGGCTGCACAGTTAACTGGTTAAGATTTATTTTTCTTTGAACAATTCATTATTGTCATTCGACTCTTCAATCTCGTCTCTTTCTCTAATCTTTTATATTTTTTGTTTGTTCACAATTTGTTTATAAGATGCAATTATTTGTAAATGAGATATTTAAAAAAATTCTTTATCCTACTTTCCGTGACTGTTTAAATGTTTATAATTAAATATATATATATTTGTTGATGTTTTTATTGTTGTTGATGTTTTTAATAATGGTGTTGATGGTTCGATAAATTTTCTTTTATCCTCTGAACCTTCGACAAGACATTTATCGTTTAAATATTCATTAGACTGTGACAGTTAATTAATCGCTTAATTGAACTTCGAAGAAGAATTATTTTATTTCTATAAGAAGGAAAGAAATAAACTTTGTTCAATCTTTTGAAAATGAAATGAAGAAAATTATTTTTCAATTAATTTAAATAAATGCAACAATGATAAAAGATTTGCAACAAAACTCGTTGCATTGCGTAATAAGAGAAAACATTCATCATATTCTTTTTGAAATTATTTCAAAGTTTTGTGAACATCTAACAAATTCAATTAATTATTTATAAATAAACGAGAAAAATAAATTTATTGATAAAATGAGAAAAAGAAAAAAAGAGAGAGAGAGAGAGAGAGAGAGAGAGTGAGTGAGAGTGAGAGAAAAATCTTCCTTTCGTTGTTTCTTTTTTTTTCCTTCTTCCAATTCTTCTTGTATTTCTTTTTTTATTTTAATTCTTTTCTCCTTGATTACAAAATCAAAAAGATAAAATTAATAATAAAGGGACGTCGTTGTAAACGACGACGCGACGCTTAGAGTGTATCGTACATGTGTTGGTGTCGTTTGCAATCAATCCGATCGGCTCGATTATGTGTGTTATTTTTGAAGAGAATGTGTGTGAAACAAGTATACACGTTCTTTTCACAATATATTAATATATCAAATATATATATATATATATATATATATATATATATATATATATATATATATATACGTATATGAGCCTAAGATTATGAGAGTAGTCTGATACAAAAATAAACAAAAAAAAAAGTAATTTATCAGTCAATTATTTTTTTTTCTAAATTTTTTGTCCAGACCAATTTTCATAATTAAAAGCTCATATGTATATATATATAATATATATAATATATAATATATATAATATATAATATATATGTATTTTTTATATAGCATGCGTACGACAAAGACGAGCAACAAAATGCTTCATTTTTTCTTCTTGTTTCTCCATTTTTGTTTTCTCAATTATGAGAAAGCTATGCCTCTCTTCGCCGTTTTTTTCATATTTTACGAATATTTATTATTATTATTATATTTATAATATATGTTATACGATTATTATACCAGTGGATTATTTGTAAAAATATAAGAATTGTACAAATTGGATTTGAATGATTTTTTTTTATAATATAAATGATCCTATAATATTTTATATAAAAATTATTTATATTATAAAAATAAATCATCAAATTAAATTGTATAATTTTTATATTTTTATAATTAATTCACTGTCATAATAATCGTATTATTATTATATTTATAATATATGTTACAATTATTATGACAGTAAATTAATGATAAAAATATAAGAATTATACAAAATTATTTGAATGATTTATTTTATAATATAAATGATCCTAATATATTTTATATAAAAATTATTTATATTATACAAATAAATCATTAAATCAATGAGCATAATTTTTATATTTTTACAATTAATTCACTGTCATAATAATCGTATTATTATTATATTTATAACATATGTTACGATTATTATAACAGTGTCCTAAAATTAATAATAAAAATTATACAAATTGAATTGAATAATTTATTTTGTAATAAAAATAATCTGAATATATTTCATGAAAATTATTTATATTACAAAAATAAATCATTAAATCAATTTGTACAATTCTCAGATTTTTGCAATTAATTCACTGTCATAAATATCTGTACATATATGATACTAAATATAAATAATAAAATAAATATATTGTATGATTTTAATAATAATAATATGTATTATAACTGGCCCATAACACACGCAGTCATTAGTGAATATAAATATATAATTATTCATGCGAGGATTATTAAAAACCATGTCACGTGCAGTGATGCGTGCTCGATGCAAAGAGGCAAAGATTTTTTCATGCAAAAAAGGATAAAGACGTATATACTCGTCTTTAACCATATGATTTGACCTTCATTCTTCTTCATTGTATCGTTGTTTATCATTTTTTGGATTTTTTAGTATCCTTACGAACTAATCACCCCTTCCGAACTTCATCGAAAACTGACGAACTTACTGAACTAAAAGTTAATGTACAAAAACGAAAGTTTAATTTTATAAATAGAGAAAGAGAAAGAGAGAGAGAAAGAGAGAAAGAAAGAGAGAGAGAGAGAGAGAGAGATGAAGAGAGAGAAAAAAAGGCGGGAAAATTCATTCGAACGGAAAATAATTAGATGTAAAAGTAAATACTTCGGAATGTTTTTTGTTTGTTTGTTATTTTTTTTTTTTTTTAAATGTCGCGTGTGGGTGCTGCAAAGTTATTGTATGCCTGTATTATAATAATATATTTGTGTATATATGTTTAATGTGCGTGTATGTGTTGTGTGTATGTGTTTGTGTGTGTTTATCATCAAACTGTACCGTTGAAAAAGAATTAAATTACGCGAGTACCGAGTCCATTATTCATTTTGTCTTTTATTATGTTGCTTAAAGTTTTATTTCTACGAGATTAAAAAAAGATAAATCCTTAATAATAGTTAATAATAAATTTGTTTTTTTTTCTAACTCGATGAATTTAAATAATCGAATAATCTCATACGATTTATATCGCGATACATCGAGATGAAGTAATATATGTATATAAACTTTATCATATACCTTACAATACTATCTAATTAAATTAATTACAATAATAATATTAATAATAAAAATAATCATGGAAATTATAACAACAAAGAATTACTTTAATTAATTATTTTTTTTCTTTCTTTCTAATAAGCAACGACTTACCAGTGCCCACGAAAAATGACATTTATGACGAATAGCTTAAACGTCATTTAAAAATTAATCAGTGAATTAATTTGTAATAAAAGAAATGATCTTTCATCGTGTTCGTTCAAACCGTCATAAATTCATCGTTCGCGAACGCCCGTGATAAGAATTCTTTCTTATCGTCTAAATTGTTAATAAAAATTAAAATTTTTCTATGAAAATTAAAAAAAAAAACTAAAAACTAAAAACCGTAATTTTCGATAGAATTGTTTTCAATCGGATTACGAATAATTAATATAACCGATTTGACTGATTAAATTAATATTAACACTATGCCGTCTGGTGGCGCCACGTTGCGACCATTTTCAAAACTAACTGGTACCGCCATTGTGGTGCCGTGTCCACTTGGAAAATAAAAAACCAAAGATATACGAAATTAGCGAGAAATTATTTTCCAAATTATTAAATTACACATGGTAAGATTTGAAGAAACAAAATAAAAAAATTGTTAATATGAAAAATCGAAATGATTTGATGTGAGTCAAACAAAAGAATCGCGATTGGACGTGTGTGACGTCATAGTGTTAATAGAAATATAAATATAAATAAAGAKAGAGAGAGAGAGAAAAAAAAAAGGTAAATTGTTGATTGTTATATTTTTGTTGTTGTTGTTGTCATTATGGAGCTTACCCTGACGCCAAAAGCGGCGATCTTCAGTATGCACTCGACGGTGAACATCCCCGTGAAGCACATGTTCATGTACTTCAGCGTGTTCTTGTACGCCTCGCTTTGCCGATGGAACTGTAATGCATACACTGACAAACACACGGCCGACAGAGACAAACAGAGACGCACAAAGCCTTCAAAGTTTCGCGTTTAAATTACGAGGACGTCACTCCTTTGATCCTCTCCGAGAGAGAGAGAGAAAGAGAGAGAGAGAGAAAGAAAGAAAGAAAGAAAAACAATTAGAAAGAGAGAGAAAGTGAGAGGGCAAAGGATCGACTTCCTCACAAGCTCGAAGATCACACGTACGATCGCGCCTACCGATATGAAATTTATTTTTAGGTTAGTATAGTTTAAAAAAAAACAATTGGCATATGAATTTAACCCTTTCGCGCACATAAAGCATGGTCAGTCCTTGTGTGAAAACTTTCCTAACCTTAAATAAGATTTATGCTTAATAAAACAATGCTTTTTTACAAGTGTTATTTGTAAAATATATTTTCAATATGATCCTCATTTAATATGTCAGTAAGATGAATTCAATTTTACCGACCGTAGATGTCGTTTGACGGATTGACACATTGATGCCGGATATATACGGCACTTGTTCATACAAGTCATTAGATAGGCGCCGGATATATACGGCACTCGTTCATACAAGTCATTAGATAGGCGCTGGATATATATGACACTTGTCTATACAAATCATTTGATAGGCGCCGGATATATACGGCACCCGTACCGAAAGAGTTAAACCATTTTTTTTTTTAAATAAAATGTATTTAATTTGTTAATAAAATTTGATTTACTTTTGCATATCGATACGCACGACGCATCCTGTCCCGTTTATTATCTGATAGCACGTGGGACGATTTTTTTTATGACACACGACTTGTTTTTTTGAATAAATCGATCGTGGAACAAACAACACTGTCTACACCTTGTCGAATATTAAAATTAAGAAGGATTTTATGGTACATGTATACAATCATAAGTCATTAAGAGTATTAATAATCTTTACTATAATTTTAATTGGAAATAATGAATATTTTGTTGTAATACTATAATTCTAAACTATACACAGAAATATATATATAACTTTGAAATTAATATAAATTTCATTTTTGTTCCTATCATTTAATATATTTAATACTAAAATGTTTTATATTCAAATTTATATTAATTTGAAAGTTTATTCATCTTAAAATAGATTTCGGTGTATAAGAATTTGAATGTTTTGCATTACAAACAAATATAAATTATTTCAAATTTATTATAAAAACGAATACTAATACTCCTGTGACTATGTTATATGTATGTGTCGGTAATTACAACATTCGACAATGTTAAACAATTGCAAACAATGGATTCTATTATTTGTTTTTTAATTACCGACACATAAGCTTATGTATGCATGTTGTATAATAAATAAAATGGAACGTTCGTCAATCCTACAATTTACACATGAATTTGTTGATGGTTATACTGGATGTACTACGAATTTCTCAGTGGGATTATTACATAGAGTATTGTGCATGTCGATAGTGTACCACGATAATAATATCAGTACTATACTGATTTATGTGAAAAATATAATTCAAAAATGTACATCAATTAAATTAATAAAAATTAAAGAAATGTATGAAACGAGAAGAAAGAGAAAGAGAAAGAGAGAGAAAGAGGGGGAAAAATGTAAAACATAATTTGTCAGATAAATTTGAACTAAAGAGTACTTATATATAACTCCCGTTTAGGTTTTTACGACAAAAATTATGTCTAATTGGAAAAATAAATGTCATGAGTTCTAAATGATGACAAATTTTTTTTTCTAGAAAAGTTCAAATAAATGTATGTAAAATTATTGAAATGCAAAGACAATTTTCTGACACTTTCTTTGTCCTAAGAAAAATTGTTTGAAAGTAATCAACGAGAAACGTTGTCAAAACGTTTTTTAAAACGAAACAAAGTAAAAGAGAGAAAAAGAGAGTAGATGACGAAAAAACGAAAAAGGAAAGATAATATAAATAGAAGAATAGAAAGACGAAGTAGAAGTAGAAGAAGAAGAAGAAGAAGAAAGTAGAGAAAACATAAACGACAAAATTCCGAAGATATCTGCTAGACGAAATTTAAAGTAAAATATTATTGAAAAAAAGACAAAATATAATATAATAATATGAAAAAAAAAGTAAATATACACGATCGAATGTACAATAACGATAGACGGAATAATTGAATTAGGAAGGGGGGGTTTGTTTGACGAAGGATCATATAACGAGAAATTTCTGTCCTCAGATTTTCAATGCATTCTCATTTCGATAAATATCAAAATAAAATTAGATAGAGACAGTCGTAGATAATGAGAGTGAGACAGATAAACAGACAGACAGACAGACAGTAAGACAAACAGATAGATAGATAGACAGACAGACAGATAGAAAGAGATAGATTTAAATAAAAAAAAAAAATAAAAAAAAATATATAAATAAATAAATAAAATTATTAAGAAAAAAGGAAGTTGAGAGTTATACGTGCCAAGGACGCCCCGTGCAAAAGAAAAGGTGTTAGTTATGATCGATATTTAATTGAAACATACATTCAGTGATCATCATCACCCATTGTGATTGAGTGTGAATTAAAAATCGGTTCGAAGAACACGATCGTTCGACATTGCCAATAGCCATAACATGCTAACGCTCTATTTTTCTCTCTTTTGCGCGTGTTTCTTTGTTTGTGTTTATCTGTGTGTTTGTGTGCGTATATCAGTGACAATCCTACAGAATATATATTTATATATATGTGAGGATTTTCAATAGTGATATGTAGAAGTACGTGGAAAGTCAATCATTCTTCGTGCATTTCAACAATGAATTGAGAGATTAATACGATTGATTATTTTTTTTTTCTTTTTCAATCAATTATTATCGAATAAATTCAAAACCTATTTCTTACGTAAGTTAACAACAAAATTCTTTCAATTAATTTAATATCTAAAATTATCTAATACGTTGGTGCATATGAAATGTCGTTTTTATTTTTATATGTAAACGATTCTTTTTGACATAACCTCTTTTATAATCGTACTGCTCATTGTAAGAGTTACTTTTTAACATAGGAGATTTTCTCAAATGTGTTCCCTTTCCTTATTTCTTTTGAATTTTGTACCAAAATACGTGTAATTTTCTTGTATGAATAGAAACTTGGTAATAATGCTGCAAAAGCTGCACGAAACATAAACATGGCGTTTTGGGAGAATACAATTAACAATCGAAAAGTGTAGCGTTGGTTTGAAAAATTTCGATCTGGTGATTTTTCATCACAAAACGAACTGCGAGGAAGATCCAAAACGACCGTGAAAAATAATGATCTGAAGGCATTGGTGGAAGTGAATCCAACTGTATCCACGAGGGAACTTGCTATAAGGATGAAAGTTGACCATACAACAATATTCCGACATCTTTCTGAAATCGGCAAGGTGAGAAAAATGGATAAGTGGGTACCGCACGAAATAACCGAGCGAAACAAGCTGGATTGGTTAAACGTATGCTCGTCGTTGCTAACGCGATTAGTAAGTTGTGCTCAGTGGCTTGATAGGGATGAGACTTGTGTTCATACTCCAAGGCCATCACTTCTTACACGGAAGATTTTAAACACAGTTTGGTGACATGTGACTTGTGTAGTTCATTACACGTTCCTTCAAACAGGAGAGACAATCACGTCAGAAAAGTACTGCCAGTACATTGATGAGATGCATGAATAATTGAAAATGAAACACCCATTACTTGTTAATCAACATGGTCCACTAGTTTTCCATGACAATGCTCGGCCACATATATCGAAAAAAATAAATTACAAAATGAAATGAATTGAAATATGAAGTTTTACCTTACCCAGCTTAATCACCGGACTATAATTTTTTGTAAACATTTGTAACTATTTTTACGGACTAAACAATATGCAAATGAAGACAGTCTAAAAAATGTAATATCAGAATTTATTGATTCTAAAGATCAAAATTTTGTTAAGAAAGGCATTTATGTTGGAAAAAGTGTATTGAAACGAGTGGAGCATATTTTGATTAAATAAACAGTTTTTGTAATAACATATAAAAATTCGACATTTCATATGCACCAATCTAATATAATATATAAAATAAATCATTAATTTCATTTCGTTTAACTTATTGTTCCCATTATGTTGTTATATGTTGTATATTGTTTGTATTCCTATATTTATCGGTCCACGTGTATATTTAAATGTATAGAGAATTTTCTATTAAATTAATTTATTTAAATTTCTTTTTTCTTTGTTTCTTTTTTTTCAAATCTTTCGTCTCTCTGTTCATTAATATATATGCACGAGAATAATTATAATTAAAAAAGAACAAAATAAAGGGTAAATCGTGTAACGTGCCATTTGTTCTCACAGACAAAAAATTTGTTGCAAGTGCGTGTGCAAAAGTGGATTTCGTAATAATAATAATAATAATATTAATAATAATAATAATAATAATAATAATAATAATAATACATTCCTTGCTTTTTGAATAATAATAATGATAATTATAATAATAATAATAATAATAAAAATAATAATAATAATAATATTTCCAGGCAACAAAATTGGACACGATAGCGTGTGAGTGTGCGTGTCAGATATATTATCTTTTTTTTTATCGACAGCATGTGTATCACAGTGATCTTTCATCGGTTTTTTGCTTGTTCACAAAGCGAAGGCTGATCATACGTGCGATCGGAGTCACAAATTTATACGAGTGAAATAAGGGGAACTTGGAAATGTAGATATATATATATATATAACTGATATAATAGATAGATATATAGATGGATGGATGGATGGATGGTTGGAAAGGAGATAAATACACAGATAGGTGGATAAATAGGAAAATAGTTGGGTATATAAATAAATATATGTGTATGTGTATGTATGTATTTGTGTGTATGTGTATAATCATTAGAAGAGATAGAAAAATACGTGGGTAGGAAGAGAAAATTATTTTTCGAGATTATTTTAAGACTCGTATATAATATGTGTGTCGGATTCTCTGATTCTATGAAATTGAAAAGAAAAATATGTGAATCGTAAATAGAATTTTTTCTCCTCGTATTTTCCGATCTCTCGATCAGTCATTTAAAAAGGAAAGGTATATATATATA